TTTCTTCTGACGAACTTCAGACAAATTTCTGCTAGCTTTCTGGATCTGAAAACTGCTTCTTTCTTAGCCTCCTGTGCAGATTTCTAGTGCACGAGTCAGCGTTTGCTTCTACGAGCGGCCCGCGGCCGGCCAGAGCGGCCGAAACTTTACGGGGGGAGGGTCTTGTTCGGGGCTCGAGTTGTATCCGCGGAGCTGTATCGCTCGAGCTAGGCGGAACTTGCTTCGTAAACTCGTTGCTCACAAAAATTTATCAAGCCGCTACCTTCCCAACTTCTCCCGGCACTAGTAACATTCCTGCTACAAATAACTAGTACAAATCACGTCAAAAAATATCAAGACATGTATAGAAGCGTGTTCATATCTTTCATACACAGAGACAAATTTTCAAAAACAAATCGCCATCAGCGAGATTTCACAGCTGTTTCATTCATCAAAAGTTCTTGTCGATCGTAAAATGATCACTCATCTGTTGTCTCCACTAGCTAGTGTGGCATTTGTAGCTTAATCACGGCTAGCCAAAAGTCAGCGTCAAAACCCCGGAATAAAAACACGCACAATCCGCATCGCTGTACAAAAACAGGAGCTTTCAGGCGCCATCTTGTCATGAATATTAAGTAGCAGCGTGCGATCGACGCTCTGGTTGGTTCACCTCACATGACCTGCTTTCTGATTGGATAAGCGATGTGGCCAGCAGCCGGCAGCGCGGGAAGATTTTTCTTCGCCGGCAGGCTCTCGCCGGTGAAGAAGAGACACATTTACGCTGCTTTCTACGTTTTTTCTACGACTACTAAGCAACATCCTATTAAAGAAATACATAATTAAAAGAATTTTCGGGAAGATGTATATTTCTCTACGCCGATTTTTGGCCATTTTCTCGTAATTTTCTTGTTCAAGGAACCCGGAAGTCAGTGTACCGGGACGCGGGGTGAATTTCCATAGGGCATTTACAGGGATCTCCCCAGAAATTTAGGACAGAATGGAGGAGGGTGCGAAATATCGGTAAATTTGACCAAAGAACCCTGGAAAAGGGTGTAAAAACACTAGTTTTGAAAATTAACAGGGTGGAGCTGAGATAAGGACTGAGTGGAGGAGCTCCACTGCTCCATTGTTTAGGGAGGTCCCTGATTTATGGATCGCACCCCGCTAGAATTAAACCGTCAAAACAGAAACAAAACTTCCAAAAAGCGGAACTGTGACATTTTTTCACATCCCAATGATTATGTTTTCGATCAAATTGACATTTAAATATGCTTTCTTTATTTTCTGCATTTTGTGGCCGGGCGCAAGGACCGCGCGTAATACGATCGGAGTGGCAAAACAATTTTAATACAGCCTTTTTTCCGGAATTATTTGTGCACGGACAGTAAATTTTGGAGCCACAAGATTGCCATAAAAGCTGCTCAGAATGTACCAAAAACGATGTTTTGGGGTCTAATTTTTACGATTTCCTCCGGGGGAGGCCCACCGGACCCCCCCAACGGG